AGATGTCTAATAATATGTGGATGTTGTAAGAGGTAAAGTCAGAAAAGAGATTATAGATTCAACTCGATGAGAATCCAGTCATCTGAACTCACAGGCACTGAGATTAATTTGAGAATATATTTCAGTAGATTGTTCAATGTTTAAGTTATAGTTTTTTTTTTACCTCTTTAAAATTATGTTTAATAGATAATCGGCTGTAACCATTTAAACTGCATCAAAAATGTCTGGAATTGTGAATGAGAGGATGAATGAAGGCTCAATAATGGACTCAGAAGACCGAACAGAAATGACTGTTGATATCTACATAAGTGCAGAGATTGTAAGAGAAATTAAACAAAAGAAAGATACAGAAGACTTCAAAATAGCAAAACCCCAAACACCTCGACACACAGGTAACTGAGATTAAAGGAACAGTTCAGCCAAAAATTTACATTTTCTGATTATTTTCTCACCTCCGGGTCTTCCAGCATAATCTGACATGTAGTCTTTGCATGTTCCACTTGTAAATAATGGGGCAGTAAATAATATTGTTGCATATAAATAATTTTTTCTCTGAAAATGACTGATCGTTTCACTAGAGAAGACCCTTACTTGTCAACTGTGGTTGTGTGGATTAATTTAAAGCTGCCTAAACATGGATTTTGGACCATTAGAAATGGTCTATGTTGAGCCCTTTTCACTTGCATTAGATGGAGAAAAATCCTGGAATGTTTTCCTCCAAAAGCTTAATTTCTCTTCGGCTGAAGAAAGAAAGTCATATACAGTGTATCTCGGATGAGTAAACAATCAGGAAACCATTTTTGAGTGAACTGTTTCTCTGCATTAACTCAACACAAGGACAAAAACTACACTAATAAATATATGACTAGGGGTAAAGTTAGTCTACAGTTGGCATGTTTTCAGTTGATGTGAGCCGTATGATATGAGTAAGGGAAGAGACTAACATCACATCTATGATGGAGGGTGCCCTCGGTGACGAGCAGACAGAGGGGCTGCAGCCGGCAGTGGCTCCACCGCTTCGCCGAATAGGTCGGCCTGGGAGATCGGGGAGGTCAGGAAGCGATGCTTGTCGGCCTCCCTCATATCCGCCAAGGTCA